TTCTGGGCCAGGGCTGCAGCCCCCGCAGCAACACTGCGAGGAACACACGGGGTCTTCTTCAGAACGCTCATCCGAGTGCACACTCATGCTTAACACTGTCCTGTTTTCCCCAAACCTTGTGGCTGAAAACACACACCACAAATTAACAAAAGAGTTAGTTTTATTAAAGCACCTAATTACAAAAATAAATGGAATGGAAGAGAAATAAACCAAAAATTATACCAAAATTCACATCCCAAGAGACGAGACGTTACAGCAGAAGGCTGGGGGAGCTTGGCTCAGCTGCTGGAACACGCCCGGGGCTCTGCAGTGCCCACCACCCCGAGCTGCTGTGCCCACGTTCCAGCTGACAAAGCACCAAAAGCGCTTCTTGGGAAGGAAACGGCGAGAGCGACCGAGTATCACCCGCGGCTCCGCGCACCTCAGTGATCTGAAGGTGGCGTCAGACGAACCCATCGGCCAGCGTAAACACAGCTGCGCGTTAGCTCAGGCTGCGTTAGTAGGAAGCTTCTGTGTAAACACTGAAAAAGGAATCGGACCAACGAAAGCGCGGAGCTGCTTCCGTCGGCAGCCTGGAGCGCGTGGCATCAATACCTCAGCGCGGTTCCGCAGTTTGCCCGTTCCTCTTCAAAAGAGGGAATACTGCTTTTCGCTAAGGGTCTCCCACGAGCCTCCTCCTCAACGACTGCTAGCAAGAAGTTCAAGCACGTGAAGCACTCTGACGCTGCAGGCTGTTGTGTAAGAAATACCACAAGATTCTCACTCTAGTTAAGCAGAATGGAGGTTGTCAGGTGCCACCCTGAGAGAGCTATCCAGCAGCCAGCACGTCAATCCCCTTGGGACGCAGCGTAAAAACCCCAAAACACTCACTGCCCCCACATTTGGCTCAAGTTTATCCCAAACAAATTCAACTCCCAACACTCTAGCATGTTCTGAGATTCACATGGAAACAAACTCAATTTCTAATGAACTCTACATGTAACTGGCACGTAAAAGCAAACCTAACGCTAACTTGTAAGAACAATCAACTCTTTATCACTATCTTTTCAGGGAAAGGACGCTCATGGCAATGTCCAGGGGCGGAGAGAGCACTGTGGCTATCCAGTGAGCAGAAACCCGCAAATGCAGCGCCAGTGCCCTCTCCTGACAGCAGGAGAGGCTTCTTCAGTACAGCAGGTGGAAGACTTCCAGCAGCGGGGCTGCCAGGAGCGACACGTTGAGCAGCAGCGGATCCTCCTCAGGAATGCTCCGTCGGGCCTGCCCCGTGCCCGTTCACGTGAGGGTGCGATGGAGTCGAGCTCTGGGAGGTAGCAACGCTCTGCTCTGCTGCGGCAGCTGCCAGGGGCATGGAGAGGCTTTCCGGGGACAGCGTGGCAAAGTCTTGTCTCCAGTAGGCTTCGCACAGTGGAAGATCATTGCTGTCACACACACTGTAGCTTTCCAGAACAAACAACCCCAGTAAGGAGACAGCAGGTGCAATAAGAGAGGAGGGGGAGAGGGAGAGGGTGGGGGGAGCGAGATAGAAGCAAAGCGTTAAGAAAATGGCAAAAAAACGTTCATGGGTGCGAGGTCTGTGTTCACAAATTCATCAGGAATCTCATGACGCTGGCCTTCCCTAAGATACCCCTGAAGGGCTGCTCTTGAACCTCACGGGCCTGGTGAGGATCAGGGGAATTTCAGAGACAGAATTGCTGCTACAAACTGAAACAGGAGGCTCAATTCTAATCCAGACGCCCTGAGTCCCTGCAAGAATCTGGGCTGAAGTCCTGGCACCCCAAATACAGGACTTCTGCTACTGCTGTGAGACGAGGACCTCATCTGTCGTTATTTTACTTGGAATTAGATCACAACCTGTGTGAAGGAAAAAAATATAAATCCTGCTCTAAATATGAAGTTCAGTGGAAAAGCTAGGATGACTGGTTTAGGGCCTGTCCCTGTCACGATAAAGAAGAAACCTGTTTGCAGCCTTGCCCTTCCAAAAAAAGTGCTCTGCAGAAAGTCCGGATCTTCTAGTGAAGCTCCCCAGGCTGATTATAAAGTACTGACAGCTCCTACCCCCTTCAGCAGCACCGGAGCTAACTGTTCTTCTAAAAGCAGGCTGCTGGATTTGACTGCCACAGACTGCAGGGTTGGATGAACCAGCATGGGAAAGTCACATTTTTAAATAACTGGGTAATTCTTGCCTGTGCTCTGAGGAAAACACAACGTGGAAAGGCCAAAACTAAACAGAAAAGTGATGGAAGAAACTGGAACAAAGCCAAAACAAATTCCAGAGAGGAAGGAGCTGCACACATCAGAGACACCCAAGACAAAGTGAGCGCTAGAGCGGAAAGCGGCTTGTGTTCAGAGTAAAACAAACCCAAAGGGTCAAGTGATTTTGTTGTTGCAGCTTTATTTACATTTTTAATGTATGTACTTGAATAGATGCTTAGGGAAATATTTTAAGCGTAGAAATGAGACACTTCAAACTGCACAGACATGGAACAAGTTGAGACCTAACCCCAAGACAGCTCCTGTGATCTCAGAGGAAGGAGCAATGGAACATAAATGCAAGTTTGGGGTTTAGGATGAGAGCAGGCAAGCTGGACTTGGAATTACTGCTTTGGGGAATAAGCACACAAAGCACTACTTGCAAGCATCTACTTCGGAGCTCTTTTCTGGCACCATCGCCCGGCTGGTTTTGCAGCAGAGGCAAGAAGGATACAGGTTTTATATCTGTGGCCTCTGCAAAATCCCTTAGAAGATGACCCAACACACAGCCCCCAACACACAATGAAGTTGGGTTCAGTTAGCAAAGACCTTCAGGACTGAACCAGAACTACGACTCCTTTTCTGTCAGTCTTAGACCTCAGGCCATGGTTGCCAAGAGAATCTGGCCAGAGCATCCACCACATCTTGGCAGGGGAGTTACTAGCAAAATTTTAGCTGCATCAGAAGCATAACTGCTTCTCCTCCTGCCCCAGTTAGTTTCAAAAGTCTAAGCTTTGCCTCTCACTTAACGCTCCTCAGAAGTCAGGGTGGCTGAGCAGCTACTGCATAGCCCACAATAGCACCGGGCAGCCTACTCTGTCCCTTGCCTGAGGGTTTCTCAGGGGGTGGAAGGAACTGCACTACTCCCCCGTAGGCACGCAGCCAGGTCTGCGTGCAGAGGAGCAGCTCTAGGAACCTACTGCGACACAGGGACTGAAAGCAAAGGTTCCTTCAGAACAATCGACTCGGCTTTAGTTTCAAGGACCTGTTTTCAGGTCTCCTCATCAAACCCCCATGTACACATCAAAAGCCCAGTAATGAAACCCAACCCTACTATGGGCAAGGGGCTGCCTCCTAAGCCCCTGCAGCACAACGGCAGTGACAACTCCCTTCCCACGGGCTTTTTGCAGCAGTCAGGAGCAGCACACAGGGACAAACAAGCTACAGAGCACAGGGCAGCTCGCAGCGTCGCAGCGCCTGGAGGTATGGTGCTGCAAGGAGCTCGCAGGCTCGCAGTTTGGCAGGATGGCTGCATGGAACCCATGTCCTGGCCACGTGGGACTGCACGCTTCTCTACAAATCCCGTGGGATCAAGCCCCAGGAGAAAGCAGTGTATGGTGCAGAGAGCCAACCCCAGCTGGGCTCCAGGACAGCACAGAATGCCTGTTTGTGGGCAAACCAGCTACTGCATTTCCAGCCATTTAACCACAACTGTCACTCAAGACTATGTGATGTGTTAGACACTAAGGTTTCATTAAAAATATCTCAGTAAGGTAATTATAAAAGGATTTTGAATAAATCACTGATTCTGTATTTACACACACAATTTCTTTGGTGCAGAAAAAGACAGGAAAGAGTACAGGAAGGGAGTAAGTGCTAAAAGCAAACACTAAGTGCTACATGATACAAGGTTCCAGTGGAGGGATCACAGCTCTGCAGAGTTGCCAAGTTTCCTCGCCTCATGACCACTCATAAAAAAGAACACAAAGGCAAATCCGTTTGGCATACGCCAACATCCGTGCTTAGACGTCACTTCTGGTACAAAGGGTTGCTTTGCATGGCAGCTGGTCCAGCAGGTGAACAGACCACGCCAGCACGGTCAGAACCCCTTAGCCCAAAAGTTACATCTCCTGACCCGCAGCGGCGGTAGCCTAGTGACAGTGAGAAGCACGTGTGGCACACGCGAGGCACTACCACCCCACACCGCATCGCGCGGGATGCAGCTCACTGCTACGCTGCACGCGGCCCATGTAGTGGAGGCACCCCTGACCGATTAGGGCCTGGCCTGCTGCTTGGGTCTGCAACCATCACTCTTCAATTCTGAGATACTTCTAGGATCCCTTGCCACGCGCCTCAAAAACTGAGTAAAGTTTGAAAAACACCACTAAACTTTTACCTCAAGTTCTCTTCCATTGTAGTAGCAGCTCCTAAGCTATGTCATAGCAGTATCTTTTTACTCTTAAAATACATATATTACCCATAAATAACGGCCTAACTTCCAGAGATATTGAGCAATTAAGGTTTTAGTTGACTTAGCTGGGGTTATAGGCATTCAGCATTTTTAGAAAGAAGGGAAAGGTAAAAATAGAAAACCTGGTCATTAAAATTTTAAATAAGATTATAAAAAGTTAAGGTTTTGTTTAGAAGTCATAGCATTATTGCACTGACTTCACTTAGCCTGGACAGTGCAGCAAAAATAATCAGGTTCTCATTTGTTCTCTCCTGCTTTCATTTACCGCATCATCAACTTGAAGTGCTGGAGTGCATGACAGCAAATAAAATAAAAAAAATAAAGTGTCTGAATTCTTTAAAGCCTGTTTCCTAAGTCTTTTAAAAATGCTAAAAATCCCACAAACAAATCAGTAATACGTCTTCCATAGAAAATCCTATGACAATACTTCACAACCCAATGACATTTGAGCAAGTCTCTTTGTGCTCATTTCCAACTTCACCCCAACAGGACCGCAGGCAGCCGTGGGCAGTGGACTGCAAGGGAAAAGGCACACTGTGTAAACCAGGCCCTTGTGAAAGTACCCACCACGAAGACGTGGTGATCTCATCTAATGTCAGGACCCAGCTCAGCAAGCTAGTCTCTCTATGGAGAGAGAGAAAGACTCCTCCAGAGGGGTACTCAGCCAAAAGCCTATACCCCCAAGGAAATGAATCTCCTTTTATAACGACTACAAAGGAAGCCTAAGCAAATTATTTGTCAAATCTAGCCAAATAAAGCAGGCACCTAGAGCTGGATGCTGTGAATGCCTCCTTCACCACGCCATTTACACCCTGTAGGATATCAACAAGGACAAGGCAACTTTAGCTGTAGAAAAAGAGTTTGACCCAATTAAAAACCAGAGTGAAATTTTGCTAACAACCACAAAAGGGGCTGGAGTCATAAGGCAGAAGTCCACTGCCCTATTTGTACCTGGAAGAGTAATATTCTTCTTCTAGCTCGTACAGGTCAATGGAGATCTCATCCCGCAGTGCAATCAACTTCTTGTCACACTCCTCCTGCAAGCTTCTCAGCTGCTGGTTGCGCTGGTTGATAGCTTCATTCACCGAGGGGAAATCATTCAGGATCAAGAACTGCTTCAGGTCAGACACAAGTTTCATCAGGGACTCACCAGCTCGGACCTTGTAGAAGGGAGCAAAGTCACACAGTGTATCAAAACAGTGCTTTGTTCCACCTCTAAAGCAAGATCCCCCAAGGTGCTCTTTCAGCCCACGCCTTGAGTGAAGCAGACACTCCCACATCACGTAAGGGTTCTGAGAGATGCCTGCAGCAACCAAGCCAGGCTACCCAGCTTTCCTCCCAGAGGAAGAATTCACCCGGCAGCCACTCCAAACACCGGTTTACTGCTGCAGCAGCAGTCCTCATGATACCTAGGCTGCCCTAGATGCAGTAACGAACCCAACAGCACCTGAAGGACGTGCTGCCCACCGATCTGAACAGCAGAGTGGTACTCACAATGTTTGCAGCTCTGACGTGCATCTCATAGTTATCTTGTTCACCCTGGGTTGCTCGGGAGACTTGAGTTTCATCCTCAATCTAAAGAAAAAGCATACATATCCACTTTTACATACCAACATCATGATACACGATCACTGCGTTACTAAGCATCGCATTTCAGTTCAATCTACACCTGGAATCCCCGGGGCATCCTCTGGACTTTTAAGACACCCGGAGATCATTTTTGCTACCCTCCCCACTTGTTTCTGCGGTTCTCCCCCATTCAGCAATGGCACTTCGCTGCCCGTGGGGCAGAGGCAGGCCGGGCAGAGGCCAGGCAGAGCAGAGGGAGTCACTGCGTTACTAAGCATCGCATTTCAGTTCAATCTACACCTGGAATCCCCGGGGCATCCTCTGGACTTTTAAGACACCCGGAGATCATTTTTGCTACCCTCCCCACTTGTTTCTGCGGTTCTCCCCCATTCAGCAATGGCACTTCGCTGCCCGTGGGGCAGAGGCAGGCCGGGCAGAGGCCAGGCAGAGCAGAGGGAGGGCAGAGCAGGGTCAGAGGCAGAGCAGAGGCAGGGTCAGCGCAGAGCCAGGGCAGAGGCAGAGGCAGGGCAGAGGCAGGGCAGAGGCAGGCCGGGGAGAGGCAGAGCAGAGGCAGGCAGGTGCTCCTGGGAGCACGGCCCTCTCCC